TAATTTATTGTGAACATTTTAATGGAAATTAAGAAATTTCTGAAAGCTCAAAATTGATAATTTATATCTGAAAAAAAAAACATTTATAGTCCAATAAAATTATACTTTTTTTCGGAAAAGTTAACTTCCGAGATTTTTTTTCCGTCGAGAACTTTGTTATTCCCTTATAAATGATACCTGAAAATTCTTTTTCTCTTCCCTTTATGCTTATCCTTCTTTTTGAAATAAATGGGGGTGATTTGAGGGGAGCTAAATTTCTTCTAAACAGGCGAGTGAGACATTGTATCAGATGTATTTTTCCGGCTGAATCGAATGAAACTATTTGAGAGACGATGCGATCAATAATTTTGAAGTTACTAGGGTCTTATGTACAAAATGTTCAACTTCGTACTTGTACCTATTTATGCATCATTGTAATTTAATTCAGCGCGGCATTGTTCCCCATGGACTTTTTTTTATGATGAATCGAATGGAACTAAACACGAATAAATGTAAGGAATTATTCAGAAATTACATAGCTTTTCGTGTATTAAATGTATGAATTTTGACAAGACTTATATACACTTTTTTTAGATCAGAGATTATCTAAACATGTAAGGTAGATTTTCCAATCTAATGTTTACTGCTAAATTGAATGAAATGAATTCCGGGGTAATTCGACTCATATTTAAGAAGTTATAAAAGTTCTAATAAGTATATTTTGCTAGACTATGCGTCCAAACCTGTACTTTTTATACTTATAAAAACCATTACAACTTCTTAGTTGATAGTGCGATTATTTCAAGATTGATTTCCCTCAATTTAGTTTAAAAAATTGCACTGGAAAATATACTTTATAAGTTCAGATAGACTCCGGATAGATATTTAAAAAGTATGCTTAAGACATGTTAAAAATCGTATGTTCTAAAAATAAAAATCTACGTAACTTCTAAAGCATTCATTCTACTAACTCATGCATAGTTTCATTCAATTCATAGCAAGAAAGTACACAGGAAAAAATGTCGCACCTGTTTCGATAGTAATATCTGAGGCACAAGTTGGTATGAGTGCAAAACTGTACCCTTTGTGCATAAAACTCTTATAAATTCTAAACTATAGGTCCAATCGTCTGGTGATAGAACTTATTTTCGATTGAGCGCAAACAAATACATCGGAAACACCATATCAATTGTCTGTATAGTGGATATTACAATTCTTTCCATAAATCACCCTCATTTCCTCTGAATAATAATAATAAAGAAAAAGAAAACACTGGCAAGCTTACAGAGTAGAGATGGGAGAGATTTTATGTATAATATAACGTTTCAATAAAGTTTTGGGGTCTGGATAGCCTGGTTATCAGGTTGCTGGACTCAAGTTCGTGTGAACGGGAGTTCGAATCCAGCCGGCCGTAAACTCCCCGTGTGAGTAAATGGTGACTGGTGCACGTTAAAAATGTTGGGTCACAAAGCGGGATTTCAATAGTAGCTAATTCGAGAAAAAAAATTACTTCTTACAAGAATCAAGATAATTTAAAATCGTGTGAATACAAACAGCAATCTTGGATTTTAAAATCACATGAATATGAATGTTCCTTTAATAAATCAATACCACTTGGAGTACTGAATTGGAGATTGATCGTTCTCTGGTTCAGGTCAAAATTACGGTTTATGAATGTATGAATGAGTCCGCCCTAAAACGCGTGTGACGTATGAGAAGTCGAGTCTGCGTGTGACGTATGAGAAGTCGAATCGAACTGAGAAGTCTTGTTTTCCAGTGGTACCATCATCGCCATAGATGGTACCACTGGAAAACAAGAACTATCGCATCATTTGCTTTAATGGCCTACGATAACAGCAACAACGATAAATTTGCTTCAAAAAAATATTGGTAATTAATTTTTTCGAAGAGACAGCTGCTACAATACTGGATTAATAGGAGAATACTTAATAACAGGAAAATGGTTCAGTGACAGTGTTGCCAGATTAGGGGTTTTCCCCCTAGATTTAGGGGGATTTTTTTTTATCTTCAGTGGGTATTTTAGGGGAATTTGTTTTTAGGGGTTTGTTTTAGGGTTATTTGTGAATTTTACTAGTTTCATTTTGGTTACGTTTTAATATCAAATTTAATAACTGAATGTGTAAGATGGTAATATGAAAATCAATATGTTAAACCAAAACAAAAAGATGAAGATTTAATTTTAGAACTTAACCCCTTTGTTGAATGTAAATGCAGTAAGCTATTACTTAGCTCGAATCTCGACATAAGTTTACTTAGTGATCGACTTAAGTTTACTTAGCTCGACTCTTGTTTTAGCTTTATTAAGTATTTCGTTTTCAAATGCAGCTGTGGAGAGATGTTTCTCCATATTAATTATTATTAAAGACAAATTGAGAAATAAAATGTCTATAACTACAGCCGATGCTATTTTGCGCGTTGTATATGAACTTTCTAACGGTTGTCAAAATTTTGTACCTACTTCTTCTATGTTAAAAATGTTTAACAGCGAAAACATGTACAAATCAGAAAGTATTGATGAAAATATTTTGGATATTTTATCTGAAATTTAAGCATAATGTTAGAATTAAAATATTAAAAAGACTATATCGTTGATAATAAAATATTTATAAAAAAATGTGCATTGAAAAAATATCTTAAATATTTTAGTAGAAATTAAAAATAAGGTAACGATTGAAATGTAAAAAAAAATAATTTGTTGATAATAAAATACTAAAAAGTATTAAAGCAATGTTTTCTACACATTTTTCAACTTTGTACTATTTTTTAAATACTTATACATTAAGTTAAAAATTTTGGGGTTTTTTAAAAAGTTTTAGGGGATTTTACAACGCCATCCGGGGGTGAACGGTTATCGGCACCTGGCAACACTGTTCATTGATAAGAGATAAACAATAACGATAAGTAGAGATTTCGCCAGCCAGCCTCAAGCTATTTCAAAACATGGAAAAAAATCTTACGTGCCCAGTTTTTGATCACAGTCAATATAAATATTTAAGCGCCTTCAATGAAGAGAATAATTCGTACATTTTGATTCAAGAGAATGCAATAAAAAATTAAATGCTTAACGCATTAGTCGAATTACTAACTGACGATTTGATGTTTTTCAGCGCCTACAAATAGAGAAGCATTGTTATCGAAGATTAAAAATGCTTTAAGCAATGTATTACGAAACACGAACTTTAAAAATTTAACAATGTGCAGTATTTTGTTGCAAAATTCTGTTCATTTGAATTAAAATACAAATATTGCATGAAATTAAAACAACAAATTTTTCTGCTCTTTTAACCGGTTTCATTTTATTATTTGTGCGAACTGTATGTTTTTCAGTGCATACATTGTTTATATTTTGTATTTGTGTTCATGCCAAATTTTCAAAATTTCACGGGAAACTTGTTCGATTTTTGGTTCTTTATTTCGAGAGACGCACTTGCAGCAATAATTATGTTTATGTTCACCAAGCTAACTGCTCCATCAATGGTATTTTGAAAACTGCCATTTATATGATTTTTTTATTTTTTATTAACTACCATTTATATGATTTTTCGCTAGAACTATTATTTATATGATTCTTTTCACAACAAAAAATCAAACTTGAATATTAAAATTCAAGCTTTTTTCAAAATAAATTATTTGGCAATTAATGTCTCATTTTCTTAAAGTAAAGTTTTTTTTAACTAATTTCTTTTAAAAAAGGAACATACATTTTGTATGTGTGTATTAATATTTGTCTTTTTTTTATTTTTTTTATTGTCTACTCAAAGTTCAATGTCTTCATAATTTTGGTGCCAAATTTCAATAAAATAAATTAATAATAATGACGAGCCATTTAAGATTTTTCAGAATAAAAAAAAAATTATTGTAAAATATAAAACAAGAAGAATATCCTTTCAAAAAGAATGGTTTGAATTTTTTAAATCGTTACCTGTTGTCAATTTTTTATTGCTATTTGGAATAGAAAAGAACTGCTTTTTTTCTTTCTTTTTTTAATGTGAATAAATCTAAAGTGTAACACGAAAATGTCTCAACACATAATCAAAATATCTAATGTCATTTCCCTTAAACAGCTCTTTTCACTTTATTAAAATGAAAATTTAGTAGTATAAAAATGTAAGCCACTTTATCTTCTGATAAATTGATGAGTTTTCGAATTCCTATGCCGCGTAAGGAGCTTTAATAAAGGAGCTTTGAGTTTTCTCTGAGCTTGGTGAACTACTTTTGCTGGTTAAAAAAATTGAAAACTATAATGATAAATTTCTTTGAAATTAAGCCACTTGCGGGGAAATGACGTGTCACGCACGTCAAGATGGTTTTTTTCCCAAAATCGCTAAAAACGTGCGGTACTCGTCGGTAAACAATTATCTCAGAAATAAGAAAGACAAAAGCTTCGTCGATATGTGAAATGATACTTTTTTGCGAATAATATGCTATTTTCATAACTGCTGAGAGTTGGCAACAGTTAGACATCACATGTGATTAGGTCAAATTCAGAATATCTTTAACCAGCGCCCTCTATGTTAATTCTGAAAATGGCGCAAAACGTAAACATGGAGAAAAGTCACAGTTTTGTGAAAGTGAAAAGCGTTTGCTGTTTAATTTTTTATTATTTAAAAATTTACTCCAATGCAGCATTATCAGGGCTCATAAAAGTTTACAAAAACTAAGAATAAGGCAGTGATTTTGGCAATTTTCATCAAGGTGGAAAAACTACGCCAAATTGGCGATTTTCACAAAAAGTTTAATATTAATTTTCAAAATATTTAAGTCATTTGTCTGTTCTAAAGCACAATTAATTCTTCAGGGCAAGATGGTACGTAAGGTTAAAAATTATAGCTTTGCTTCCAAGTAAAAGGTACTTAAACATTGTTTTTTTCTTGGTGAAAGATCTTCGAAAAACCATGTTAAGAATAAAAATCGATCTAAACTTTTTGTCAGATAGTGAGCATATTCGAATCAGTAGACAGAACATCAAGATAATAGCATTTATAAATATTTATATTTACCTTTGAGAAACGGCAAGTCTATCGCTGTAGAGAACATGGGGCACAGCCGAGTAGAGGGGCGGAGCGGTTGGGGTAGGGCTGGCGGAGGGCGGTGCCGTGTGCGGAGTGGTTTGGAATCTGTGAGCCGCCAACCAACCATCGGGAGGTGGAGCAGCCGCCCCAAGCTTGTATCGCCGCCAAACATCCTGAATGAGTTGGGCTCGAGTTTGTTTTCTCCATTTCGCTCGTCTGTTCTGAAACCAAACCTTCAAGAAAATGCGCAGAGAAAAAAATAAATCAAAATATTTCTCAGATAAGAAAAATATATCATAAAACTGTTCTTTAGGAAATGTAAGAAGAACCTATTCGATATTTTTATCTTGTTTAAATATAAATATTATAAAATATTGCGACAATCTTTCGTAACTTTATGTATCATGAAATATTCCCTATAACAGTTGAGATCGCAAGGAGAAAAGATTTATAAGCTTTCAAGAGGTTTTTGGTAGATTTCCTGGTCATTCAAATTTTTATAGTTATTCAAATTTTTGTATTTATTTAGAAAACAAAATAAGTTATTTAAAAAAAATGATGAAGAAAATATTCATACATGATAACATACCGGAATTTGAATGTTGCGTAAAATGTAACACTTCACTCCAAGAAATGTCCATATTAATTGACAAAACCGTATGAGATTTTTGATATTATTAAAAGTTAAAAGCAACAATTTGAAATTAGATAGTCACGAAGATTATGAACAATTGTTAGTCCTATTATTTACAAACAATATTAAAAATTTTTTGTTCAGTCATCGAGTGTTTTCACAGATCTATAAAGGACGTGGCAAAATTCAACCCATATAAAAACTGTCTTTACTTATTAACGCAAATAAGCACCATTTGAAGAGAAGTGTGATGTATAAAGTTATAGTTTAAACATCAGACTTGTTGGGCTGCATTGTGTGGCTTTATTAGCGCATGTGGTTACTTACAAAACAACTTTTAGATTTATTTGCGACATGCAAGCAAAGTGTGTAATGTATTTTGCCAGCATTTGGCACTTTACAATCTTATTTCATCCAAATTTAATTTTTTAAGCCTTAAGCTAATTCTGTAAACTTGGAAGAATACGGGCTTAGAATAACGATTTTCGATTTGGATACGATTGTCAAAACGTAAGTTCTTTTTTGCAAAATTTTAGTGGTTATTTACATAAAATCCAATAAAAGTTTATCGTTCGTTTTTCAGGAGTTTGTTTTATACTTTAAATGAGTTGGATAACGCTCTCATGGACATGGAATTATGTAATATGACGTTAACAGTATGTATGACTATTAACATCAACCAGTGTTTGACTATTAACATCAACCACCATTACCATCAACAACATTTTTTTTCAGGAATGTAATTCAAAGCATGGTCATCAAAAAAGACAAACACAAGTTTAATCTAAATTTTACAGTCTTATCAAGACAGGTACCTTCAGTTTTACTCACCCAATAAGCTGAATTTTCTTATGAAGATTGATTTTAAAACCTCACATTAACCGTGTAAAATTCTTTAACAGTTTTAGAATATTTTTGAAAATATGGACTATTTAAAATAGAAATATTCTTATTAAATATGATGTCAATTTCTTTTTTAATCGGAAAACGATAAAATTGAAGGTAAAAGGTTACTGTAGCTAAAGTAAGATTTTCAGAATCATTTCATTAATATGAATTATGTTACCAAATTATTTTATAAATATGCTTCAAACTATTTTTATACAGTAATTTTGACCATAGAAATTGCTCTTATATGCTATATTTTTTGTTTTAAATTAATGAAAAATATTTATTTATGAGAGTGTGAACAATTTGTTTAGTTAGCGATTACAGAGGCATTTCCGCAATAGTTCTCGTATTAAAAGAACAGATTTTGAATTAATTATGAATATATTTCGTACTCAAAGTAAATATAATCCAGTGCTCTATTTACTTAACGAATTACTTTCTAAGTTGTTATAAAAGGAATAAGATCTATTGATCCATTGATATATTAAATTTCTCTGCATTGATGGATTATTTTTTGCTTCTTAACATTGATTCTGCCAAATAAGTTTTTAAGGAAAACAGGATAATTCGCTTAAAATGTTTTTGTACTACTACCAAATACTACCATGTGTTTTGGTAGTATAGACATATAATGCATATGTCTATGCTACTAAAACCAAAGAATAATTAAAAAAAATTAAGCTTAATCCCCAACTTTGAAATAGTTCTTTATATAAAAGTCCAGCTCAATTGATGATTGGCATTTGGAGTATCCTATCCCTTGTAAGTAACTTATCTTATTAATTTTCTTATCTTCTTAAGTAATATTTTTCAATTTATAGAAAAATAAATTTAAACAATTTAATTTTCTTGCAAGTTAAAATCAAATTATATAATATAGAATAGTACACATTAATTGAGTACTGCTATAATTTTTAAAAAAACTAACCCAAAAACAATTACACCGAAATGTTTAAGAAGATTTGAATTTTAAAGCAGGGGCTTTAAAGCTTATTTAATTATCACGATTCCCGAATAGAAAGTATGGAGGAAAAAAATATTATGATTTCGTCTCAATTTGGCTTATTAGTCATTGTTCAAATTATTTTGGCTTTACATTAGCTATTGAGCTTAATTAAAAAATATGTGAATGTTCTTATTTAACTCATTTTAGAAATTTGCCATCGATGTGTAAGTACTATTGCGAACAGACTATAACTTTATTTTCTAGAATTTTCATTAAATGGCAGTAAAATACACATAAGCATCTTAACAACATCTTACATAAAAATCGTGTCGTTTTTCATCAAAACCGTTCCTAAAACACATCGAAAGTATCTATTCAATCCATCAAAAACATGAATTATCATTGCTTCAACCTCTTTATTTTAAAACATTACATAGGTGCAACATAAGCAATCAAGCAGAAAATGACACTGTATAGAAAAGTTTTAACGTAATATACGGTGTTTTTTTAAGTTTTCCTTGTCTATAAGGACGTTACACATTGATTTCACATGATCCTTTTATTTCATTTAACACACGCGAGAGAAAAAAAGTTTGTTTCATACGTGTATTAAAACATTTTTTTAGCAACTTTAGTGGCATTTAAGCTAGTACAAAAGAAAATGTTGTTGACAAGCTTCTTAAATAATTATTTTTTTTAAATGTTTGTTTTTTGTAAATGGTAAATATATATATTTTTTTAAATCGAGTTATTAACAGTAATTTTTTCATTGAAATTATATTGGGCTTTTTATACCTGGCTAATGTTACTCTTCATTTAGGGTTACTATAAGGCAATGTATGAAAAAAAGTGGCTAGAATTTTATGCTAATTAAATCTATAAATTTAAGCAAAATTTAAAATTTTTTTTTCATACTATACGTTAGTACTGGGATACTTAAGAAATGAATGCAATTCCAAAAATAATTTTAACAATATAAACAGTATTGCTTTTATTAGTTTAGTTTAAATTTATCTGTGAAGCTACAATATGGCTAAAACAAGATGGAAGCTGCAACATATTTACTGTAACATAGGCTTGTGCTAAAGTAGACTCGAAAACATGCTGTTCAGTGAAAAAAAAAATTATTATTTTAACTAAATAAACAGAGAAAAATTTTAATTTCACATTAGTCCACCAAATATTTACTAATACATTTTCCACACTTACTTTAACTTTTACTTTTCTATTAGAAGTTATACAGTTAAAATAATACAAAGTAAGAATTCCTGTATATCTATCTGCACGGAGGAAAAAATTCTGTGAAAATGTTTTGTATGGTAATGACATTCTGGTAAAATAAACGATAATTCTGGTTAATAAACCCAAATTAAAACTATTCATTTGGTAATTTTTTCGTTCATATGACAACATTTTGCCACACATTCTGATTTTCAAAATTACAGTTCATATTACCACATATTTAGTAAAAAAAATATATATAAAAAACTGAAAAATAAATTTAACAGAATAAATGGTTTTTATGTCATGTTCTTAGGTGTTAAGATAAAATTATCAAATTTTAATACATTCACCATCTTTAATTGTATGTCATAAAGCCGTATTTTATTGTTAATTTTATCAAAATCCTTACCAAAGCGTTTTGGTAAAATTACCGAGTTATTTGGTGTTCCCATAGAGTTAGAAACATGGTAAATTTACAATATTCTGGTAGTTATACCATACTTTTTTTTCAGATTATACAGTACATAAGCATTGTAAATACATTATGTCTCCTTTGCAGACACTATAACAGCAAATCAATTTATTCAATCCATAAAATACACTTTAAATAAAGTCCCTCCTATTACTTAAAATCAAACTAATTAATTACGACCTGTCTTAGATAACCCCAATCAGCATAGTTATAAACACATTAAAAAGATCTTCCTCAACACTATAAACAATATTTCTATACTGGAAAAATATATAATTATATTTTTTTCTGTAAAGTGATCTCTAATTAAAAATAATGCATAGTAGAAACTAAATTAATTACCACTTTGTAAAATGATCATCAAGTTAGGTTTTAAATTACAAAAATTAATTAATTTTCTTTCAGTTAATTATTGAAACAATTATATTTAAGTAAATAAATGAAATTAATTAGCGACATGAACAAATGCAAAAAAAATTACTTATGTTTTTTAAAGAAGCGAAGTATAGACCATTGTTCTTACTCTAATTTCAATTCTAATCAGTAAAATTAAGAATATGCATATGAAAGTTTTTTTTAATGAAGGATATTTATCTAATTTAATTAAGAAAATTGTCTCAGCTTGGTTTTTTCTAATGGAATGATTGTTGGAGAATTTTTAAGATGCTTCTCATTTGTGAACGTTATAATACTTTTCGTTAATTAAACGGCATTAAGAGATTTCTTAAATTAGAGTAATATTGTATTAGAACATATAAATATGAATAATTAAAAAGCACTCGGAACTTTTAAAGTAATTAATGATGAAATAATTATAAAAAGTTTTTCAAGTAATTAGAAAACTCAATTTCCTTTTATTGATTTTCCTTTTAACATACACACAGTGTTATTTCTTTTGGTAGGTTCGATACTTTGAAATTTCCATTAAATTAATTATTATTAATTTTTTTCAAGTGAATTTTTCAAATGTTAAAATGTTTCCTTGAAATGATGTTTAAATGTTTGCATTTTACTGATCGAATTCATATATTTTCAAACGAATTTTGCATGCTCTTATATTCACAGTTTTTCAATGGAATTCACAAATATTCAAGACTACTTGTGCACTGTTGTATGTTTTAGAAATCTTATGATCTTGATAGAATTCACAAATATTCAGTAGTATTTGTACAATTCTATACGCTTAAATTCCTTACTGTCTCGATAAAATTGATCTATATTCAGAAGTACTTCTAGAATATTATATGTTTAAATATTCTTATGATCTCGATGGAATTCACATACATTCAGAAGTATTCCTGCACAGCTATGTTTAAGTATTCATAAGATCTCAAATTCACTTATATTCAGGCATTTGTACACTTTAAAAAATTCCCGATCAAATTACTGTAAAAAGTTTATTCAGTGTATTAACGGTACGGGTGTCGGTGTTTTTTTTTTACCGTAAAATCCATTTTTAACGAAACATGTTATGGAACAAAAAAATCTGATATACTATTAATTTTACATTAATGCATTACTACCGTAAAATTTCTGAATCGCTATAATAAAATAAATATTATTGTAAAGATTACGGCAAAATATTTTACAGTAAAAATGGATTTTACTGTAAAATTGATTTTATCGATGATGCACTCAAAGTGCTGGTATTTTATGCCGTAATTTGATCCGGAATTTTTTACAGTGTTCAGTGTTGTATATTTAAATATTCTTACGATCTAGATGGAATTTACATATTTTCAGAAGTATTTGCATAATGATAAATGGTATTTTTTGACAAAATTCATAAATATTTCCAAGTATTTGTACCTTTACTCATTTTGTTCGATGAATTTCTGAAATGTTTAGGATTTAGAATATAATGTTTTTGAATTTTAACAGTGAATACAGAAAAGTTAAAAAAATGATTACTTAGAGAAAGACTTCAAGCATTTTAAATATAAAAGACAAAATCAAAACACTTTTTTATCAGTAATTAAAAGATAATAGTTAAATGTCGGTGATGCAGGTATACACGTAATTAACGTACCTACTTACACGTATGTAGTACACGTACCTGCACTCGAGCTTCAGACAGATTAATTTTCTTGGCCACTTCTTCTCTTAGAAATACATCCGGGTAATGTGTTTTTTCAAAAAGGACTTCTAACTCAGTTAGCTGCTGTGGGTTAAACGTGGTTCGATTTCTACGCTATAAACAATAAAAAAAATACCTTTGTAGTTCCATAAACTATACAGAATTTGTTAAATATACGTATTCTTATTTTATAACTACATTTGATTTTCTGAAATTGTAATCTTAATATTTGAGTATTAATATGAAATAATATGAATATAAATGAATGAACATTCAAATTAAATGCAGTTGTCAGAGTTTCTCCTTAACAACAATCTACTATATTGAATTTAAATAACTAACTGAAATTGAAAGATGTATTTTTTAAGTTAGAAACTACAGCAATTTAAAATAATACTAAAATACGTAGGGATTATATATATTTTTAAAATAAAGATCTATTTTTTTCATAGAGAGTGTCAAATAATTATTTCAACCAAGGAGGGGAATGATTATTTTAAAAAGTAAATTTTTAGCACTCTAACAGATTTTGTCAAGCATTAGGGCAGGATTTTAACGCAAACACTTTAAAAAAGTTTCATTATCCTAAACAGGGACAAATGCCAGGTATTTTGACAAGTTTTATAAAAGCTGATTTTTAGTATTTTGGCTGGTGCAAAATTTCAGACAAGAAGAACAAGATTTCAAGCAAGCATAATGGCAAGCTTTTGGGTAAAAGAATAAATAGAAATATATACAATTTCCACAAAATTACTAAACAAACTTTCTGAGCTAAACTGAAGCTCTAAAAATGAATAATTTAAAAAGTATTTCTAAAAATTCACAAAACAAAATAAAGCCCATTACTAAGACGAAACAACGCGCAACTCACTAGTTCGTGGATCTTGATAATGAGCGTCTGTTTCGGGCTCTCAAAACATGTCAACCATTTCCACCATAGTTTTTAAAGATAATGAAGTTTTTTTAATGGAGATATACGTATTTCCGCAACAGTTTTTTTTAGATTATTCATATTATTTAAGTTGTTTGATCTGAAACCCAGATAATTCAAGTTCAAAATACTTAAACTGTAGCTTTTTGTTTTCTTTGTGAAAGATCTTTAAGAAACACTCTTAACTTATTAATATGAATGCATTATAGAATTGTTTTTTGTTCTCTAATATCGTTATTAAAACGATAATAATATTCCATCTGTTTAAAGATAAAGAAACCTGAATTGTCATTCACCAATTGAGACAAAAACGAAATAATAATAGTAATAATAATAGATTTTCAAATTAGAAAATATTATATGGATTTGCTTTTTCTTCAATTTTAAAGTTTTTACAAATTTATAAGTTATTTTAAATTCTAATTTTAACCATAAGTGTGACGCTAATTTCTGTAATCTAAATTCGTTCTTACTTTAAAAACCATACATTTCATTATTTAAAGGATTAAAAGTACTTATAATAAGTATAAAAGTGAGAAAAACAATGGGTCAGTTTCTCGATATGGTTCTTCCGAACGTTCGTTAATCGTTAAACGATTAACAACCGTTAACCGGTAAACGATAAACTTCTCATAAGTTAAGAAACTTGGAGCGGGGCCCAAGAGCATCGTATCGTGGAACAGACCCAATCAATCAAGATATTTCAGACGCTTCTGCGCAATCTTCTTTAAAGATTTTTTTTTATTTATAAAAATATGGAAAATGTGTTTCATAAAAATTATTTACTTAATTATTCATTTAATTGTTATTTTAGTTAGAGGAAAAATATAGATGTCATTCTTTCGTTTTAAAAAAATTACTCTCCGTTGCATCAACAAATCTTTAAAAAAAAATGGTTCTACTAAATTTACTTAATTATTTACTTAATTATTCATTTGATTGTTATTTTAGTTAGAGGAAAAATATAGATGTCATTCTTTCGTTTTAAAAAAACTACTCTCCGTTGCATCGACAAATCTTAAAAAAAAAATGGTTCTACTAAATTTGCTTAATTATTTACTTAATTATTCATTTAATTGTTATTTTAGTTAGAGGAAAAATATAGATGTCATTCTTTCGTTTTAAAAAAATTACTCTCCGTTGCATCGACAAATCTTAAAAAAAAAAGGGTTCTACTAAATTTACTTAATTATTCATTTAATTGTTATTTTAGTTAGAGGAAAAATATAGACGTCATTCTTTCGTTTTAAAAAAATTACTTTCCGTTGCATCAACGAATCTTAAAAAAAAAAATGGTTCTACTAAATTTAAATTTATTGCTTCTTTGATGAAAACTTTGTAATTCATTTCTTAGAAACTTTTTTAATAAGTTAAGTTTTCCTAACCAAAAATGAAATAGGGAAATAAATTTCCGTTGCTCAATTTCTAACTTCTGAGTTACTTATTTATGTAAAAACTCAGCTTGATTGGCTATGGCTAGTCTCTCAAGTTAGACAGCCAGAATAATGTCATAGATAAAAATTTTCATTAATTTTAAAACTTTTCATTTAACTTTAATGTCATTCAAACTTTTGAGTCACTGACCTTTTTTTTAATTATTATTTTTCCATGGCTCCCATCTTAAAATCAAAGAACTTCTGAACATAAATAGGAGATAAAGATGAAAATGAATTAATCACTAGAACCTGTAGTTTAACAACTCTTATATGTATTGTTTAACAACTTTCGTATCTATTGAATACTGTTATTAAAGATATCACAACTGCCTTGGAATATGTGGCGCGCACTTAAAAAATCACTGTTTTAATTGATAGCAAAAGGATTCAATCGAGAACAAGCCGCACAAAAAAACTTTACAACTTTTTTACTTTTTAAACTGAAGTCAAAAGCTTTTAAGCAATACATATTAGTTATTAGTAGGAGTTTAGTATTTTCTGCAGTTAATTTTATTGTATTTAATGCATTTTAAATATTATTGAAAAATTTCAACTTGTTAATTCCTAGCAAAATTAATTCTTTAATTAGGAAATTCGTTAACGAATGCGGTTTTTAATACCTTATGTTGAAATTCGATAGGATTAGTTAAATGAGTTTTTCCGCTTGTATGAAGGAATTCCTCGGAACTCGAAATGACGGAATGGTATTGGAATAAAAAGCGTGAAAAAAGATTCAATTTCTAGCGAATTTTTATCTGAAATAAAAATATTTAATAATATAAACCATACTTTAATGCAATAAAAATAATAATAACTAATTTTTGAGTTTATTTTCAAAGTTGTAATTCAAAATTGAGGATAGAAATATTTTTTATTCATGCAAAAGAAATCTGAACTCAAATTATAATATATATGCATTCTTACCTGCCTTCTTCGTGTTAGAAGATAATCATCCATGCTCACATGAGATGCTAAAGAGGGAACAAATGCCATGATCCTTTTAAAAAAAGAAAAAAAAAAGATATATTATTTTTTTCTCAAAAAATGTTTGATTGGTTTAAATAAAGCAGGATGAAAGTTATGTCTTACGCATTTTTAATTATAATTACTATTTCAAAAAGTGCTTCAGTCATTCAAATAATCTTTAATCGTCTGAATTTTACTAAGCATCCTTTTTGAGGGAAAATTTAGAGCAGGAAACGAAAGAGGTTTCAGTATTACGTGTCGCTTTGTTCATTAAAAAAGGCTATAGAATTGGTAAGTCCACAGACGAGAATTATAACTGTTTATACGAACAAATTTGTCAATAATGTTTTTTTTTATCCAATCAACGTCGCGTTTGTGAGTTAGGCATAAGAATTATTTTTTTGAAGATAAAAATTAACTGGAGTCAAAAACAAGCGCTAGTTCTTTAAATTATTCCAACCCACATCTAGATATTCAAAAGAGAGAGAAAGGGAGAGAAGAAAAACTTCTGTATGTACACTGTTAGAATTTTAATTGAGAAATTACGGCAAAATAATTGGCAGCAGCCTACTCGTCCAATTAATCATGAAGTTTATGGTTGGGAACGTTTTTTTTACATTTACGGTTTTGAAACCGGTTACAACTGGTACTGAAACGTGAATTCGAAAGTATACTGTTTTGTAACCATTTACAACTAGCATAGTTTCGAAACCATGAAAATAAATTTTAAGCGACCATAGGAGTTTTATGGGTGCTGTGCCAATTATGCGTGAATGATAGTTTCGAATTCTAACTGACCATATGCACCATTTTCCTAGAATTTGTTTCCTTCATTTTTTGAAGAATGCAGAACACGGGATTGAAGAATGCAGACACAGAATGAATGCAGAATACATACACAGATTGGAGAATGCAGAACACGGGAAACGCTCTATGCATAGAAGGAATGGAAGAAATATTGTGATATCAAGGTTGAGATTCAAACCCCGATTCAGCCGGTCATAAGATTAACCGATTAACCCTCTCAAATACAGTTTGTAGCAAGCTGCGTGGAACAAAATGGCTTCCATAAGGTGGGACTAGTCGGCGCTTGTAGAATTCTGATTATTAAACCGTACTAGGTAAAAACAATCAATAAGCATTTTTCTCACACTTAACAGTTTGAATATTATATTTTTTATGATTATTTTACTGTTTTGGTTGAATATCGTAAAATAACAATTAAATAAATTGTTATTTAACCATTTTTACAGGGAAATTTCTAACAGTATTGGTATAATCCGAGAAAAAGCATAATGATTGGTAGTGAATTAAAACTGTGCTCCAAATGTTAGAATTTGACTATTCTATAACTATTAAAATAAATATTCTCTGTTTTCATTTTATTTAATTCTAGAGATTTATTGTTTGAAAAGAAAGCTTCCAAAAAAGATAAGCACCCCCTGTTCGAAACTTTTTTTTTAGTTGACTATTCTTTATCCCATAGAAAGCTCTTATTATTATCAATTGCTTCTTTATACGGCACTACAACAAAATAAATAGTAGTATTTAATAAAAACAAGTTTATCTAATGATTTGAATTATTTGTTAATGATTGTTAAAACGTTGTTACTATATTTAAGATTTTAATTTTGTCCTTTCACAAAAACTTAGCTTCTTATTAATTTCTCAATATATTTTTTCTCTGTAAAAGTTGTTTTTCCTTTGTATTTATCGCTCAGCAGAGGAACTTATATACACTGTGATCATCTATTTTAATGTCAGTTTAAATAAAGATCGTTCTCTTAACATTGTACAATTCGATTTTTTGCAGGTTGAAAAATAATAATAATTTGTCTAAAGATTGTCTTATCATTTATTATTATTTAACTACTAGTTTAAATTTAATAACCAGTTTATTTCCGTTTATCCGTTGTGGTTCTCCAAATGCTCTTTTTCACAACACTTTAACAATATCTTTTTCAGTATAAAAATTACATTTCTTTATAATTTATAGCAATATGGTAAAAGTTAGAGGTTAGATAGATTGGAATAGATATTTACTTCGTTTTAAAGAATAATTTAAAAAGCAAATGAACAAAAGAAAATTTTTTTGTTGTTTAATTTAACACTATTAGTGTAGCAGATAGTAGTTACGGTATTATGGTTCCTCGAATCAATTTTTATAAGAATTTGAAACAGTTTTGTTGCAGTCCAATAGGTATCACCTGTTAGTTTTATTCTTCATTTCTTTCTTACAGATAAATGTGCATACATGATTTCTTAATTTTTTAAAATGTCAATACTGAGAAAAAAGTATGGTCAAAACTATCAAAATTCGGTAAAATTTACCACGTTTCTAGCTATACGGTAACTTTTACCAAAGCATTTTGGTAATAATTTTTGTAAAATCAACAATGAAATAGGGTACAATAAAATGTGGTTTTATGACATGTGATAAAATTTAGCAAAAGGTGAAAAATTTATTGATTTTATCATACCTTAGATATAACTATTTATTCGATTAAATTCACTTTTTTGATTTGATTTTCTTACTAAATATGTAATTAAAAGAACTATAATTTTGGAAACCCAAATTTCCGATAAACCATTACCATACAAATGGTTTCAATACAGTATATTCTGGTTTTATTAACCAGAGTTACGGTTTATTTTACTAGAAATGTCATTACTATACACCATTTTACCATAATTTTTTTCCTTCGTGTAATCTGTTAAGTTAATCCAAAAGCAACTTATAGTCAAAATAAAAAAAAAATTAAGCTTTCCTTCTGTATATCTCGGAAATCGTTTTTTTTAATATTCATTTCAGAAATAATAATATTTTTATTTTGGTATTTTGAAAAACTTCTTTTTCTAAATACTTTTTAGTTTAAAACTATTTCAAGCCACTTATAGTACAGGAGGCTATTATTTAAATTATATAAATTACCATAGATACTTAATTTGTCAACATTTGAATATAGAATAAATATAACAGTAATCTATCAGTTCTACATTTGTTTTAAAAAAGACAAGTGATTGAAATAATTTTTGGTAATAGTAGTCTAATATTAATAGTGATTTTTAAATGAAGTTTTCTTATAAGATGAATATGTATGCATATAAATCGAAACTATAGTTCTTATTACCACACATTCAATAAAACATACAAAACTGAAAAATAAATATAATCATTATCATCATACCTTGGATAAAATTACCACATTTTTCAAATTTTATCCCATATTATAAGATTATATTTTATTATTAATTTTACCAAAATCATTACTAAAGTACTTTCATAACAATTGCCGAGCTTTTTGGTGTCCCTATAGAACCAGAAATATGGTGAATTTATGCGCTGGTAGTTTTGACCATACTTTTTTTCAATAACAATTGTCTTTTTATCTCTTTAAAAATAATGTCATATATAGTATCAACTATTTTCATATTATTACGTGGTTGGAATATGTTTGTATACGGTGTACCAAGGAACAGATTTAGTTGCCGTGACCGAATATAGAATTTGATCGAATATAGAATCTGATCGAATATAGAATCTGATCGAATATAGAATTTCATCAAATATAGAATATGCTGAATTATACTAGCATGGGTGCCAGTTTAAAAGAAATTTAAGACTGAACTTATTTTCCGACTAATTAACACAATCTAAAATGGTTTATAGGAATTTTTAGAAATTTATAGCTTACTGATTCGAAAATATATCTTTCTATAATGATGGCACATATATTAAATCAAAGAATTGATTACTTTTCTAAAACTTTTTCTCCTTTTATTATTTATCTTTTTACAGCAATCAAGATAAAAATAACAACCAACTTTATACATCTTCTTACACCAATCACTGAATAATAAATCACTAAATTTTTCATGAAGCTAATCGTACCTCTACTTATTTTTTGCTTCACCGTTACTTTTTTGTCTTTCTCTAATTTAAAAAAAACAAAAACTATTTTAACTTCGGTCAGCTTTTCAAAACATTGGGAGGCAAAATGAAAACTGAAACAAAATTCGACACAATAATAGTAAAAATTTTGTGCAAGCAAGCATGTATTGAAATATTGTTTAAAGACCCTCATTGTTTGCCTAACTCTTATGCTTTTGAATACTTGTGCATTAGTAGCATCAATCTCATTTTTTCCTTTCGGTGTGACATCATTACATGATCATTTAGCTATAATTATGAAAAATAACAATGTTTTCATAAAAATGTATTATATTTTTAACAGAAAATATTTACTAAATTTTTAAGGAAAAAAGGACATTTTAATTTAAACAACAAGTGGAAAAGAGCTATTAATTAATGAAATTTAGTCTACTGATTTTTTCTCAAGACTGATTTCAGCCCCCACGACTGAAGAGTAGCACCATTGTACTAGTTCAATGTCTGTAATCTTGTGAAATATCAAAACAAATTTTCCATTTCTGTTGCTATTATTTGAGTTCGGTCAGTGCTGTTCTAGCGGTCTCCGAATTTTTATAAGGATAATAATCGTGTTATTTTGAGAATAAAGATTTCTGCGAATTAATTTTTTTGTGTTATTTTCACACGTAACTTTTATTTAATTGTTTCCCGGCTGATATATTATTTTTTTAAACATAAAATCAAAGTAAATATAAAAATCCATCCAGATAGGTGTTGACTTGACAGTTCAAAGAAGGATCTTTATCTTCCGGTTAACCTTGTTTCTATTATAACTTAGTGTTAGAAAATGATATTTACGTGAAACATATGTGTGTTAGTTTTTACTCAATGTTTATTGTTTGAAAAGTGTAAAAAGTTTTGTGTAACAAACTTTTAGCACTTTTGTAACAAAATCTTAATCCCGCCTATGCATCTGTATGTTTGAAACAGGCAGATGCATAGTCAGAATTAAGATTTAAAAGATATAAACAAATTTTTACAAACAATATTTTGTGCTTAAATATATTTAAATTAAATAATTTAACAGTTACAAGATTCATATTTGTACTTACAATATAACATGATGTTTCAAATCTATTCATAAAATTTTTTGAATATTAAAAAGTACTTAAAAATGGCATTAAAAACTTTTTTTAAAACATGGACTTCTAATTTGTCAGTTTATTATCATTAAAATTAAAAAATATTTAGTTCATAATGCCCGTAAAAGACCAATAATATTTATCTTTTTAACACTATATGTGAAATAAAGATCGCTTGAATTTTTTAAAAAATTTTTTTGCCTTTAAAAAAATGAATTCCGTTTGACAAGAAAGCTATTTTAAAAACTCGAACCAAATAGTTTTTAAAGATCACAATAATTACTTAAATTTCAGTTGCTATTAAAATATATAAAATTAATTCCTTAAAAAAAAAACTGAATTTTAAATTTTTCATTTGATCGTGTTTGCCATTCTGAAAAGCTAAATAAATAAATAAGTATAAAATTTACACTATATTAATATTATTAATAAAAAGCAAAGAAAACTTTGTCTTACACGAACGATCCAAAGCTTCCAATTGAAAGGACGTCACAACTTTAACTTGTTAAAACATTTTCTCGTCTCGATATCGCAACTTAGAATAAAATTACCAAAATCTAGAACTTCATGGTGAGGAAAATATATTCTAATATCCTTCTCCTATCAATCCTTGCCGCACATACATGGCATGCGCAAATTTCCACCATTCACAGCATCAAACCAATCAGGTAGAAAGATTTGATATCCAACAAATCTCTCATCCCCCCTACCTTTCCCCTCCATCGGTGTCTTCTTTCCTAATTACACTAAATGCTCCTGTCATAGCCCTCTCGAACCTTCCTTTATTCCATACCTAACTCACCGCATGCATCAATAGAAGCGTAAGCCAGCAGGAGTGATACAGGGGGAGTAGTAATTAATTATGTGGAGATGCAGTCTTCATTATGTTACCGCGTTTTGCGTATTGACGTCGTTATTATTAAAGTTCCAAAGCGCCTTATGAAAATGATGAGTTTCCTAATGTAGAGAATACCACAGCGTGGTATTCAATAGCAATGAGGGAGAGGGGGGAAAATGAATTGAAAAGGTTAGAGGGAAAAAGAGAGGGAAATATTATATACATAACCCTGATCGTGTAGTTTCATCTGTAGTCTCTATTATCCAAATGAAAAGCTCCAATTTTTCACTTTCTCTTAAAAATTCCCTTTCGTAAAAGAGAAATCTCCTTTCATCTCGTAAATAAGCTCTTTGACTCTCAATAATCTAAAGCAATGCCGGGTTTTGGAAAGGAAAAAAATGTGATTTCTCCCCTTTGTGCGCGACTTTGATTAAAAACATCGTAGTATAACGAGTTTAGTATTAGGGATTATTAATTAGTTTTCTTGTACTTTCTTTATATATTCATTTATCGTGTTAATTTTGTTTCAATAACTTTAGTTATTTGATAATTTTTTATAAGCTCTTTGGCCGTGTTTCGGATTTTGTTAAAGGAGATAAAGATAATGAAAAAATTACATCTCAAAGTAATTAAGTACTGTAATTATGTCTTTCGCATCTTTTATAGTTAGATCTCTAGCTTAATATTAAATGAATTTCTCCTTTATTAATTATTTGATGTATTGAAATAACTTCTTTGGTAGGAAAAAAAAACTTTTTTTCTTCCAAATTTAAAATTTTTTCCTTTACATTTTGGACGGAGCAAATGTTTCGTTATCGTAATATGAAAGTAATTTTGTTTTTAAATTTTGTTGCAATTTAAACATAAATCTCATTAAACTTTAAATAAGGTCAGAAAAAGCTATGTGCATCGAATTTGAGATAACTGAATTAATTGTAAATAGCTATTGCAATTTTCGTTCAATTTTAAAACTTCTATGAACGATACGGTACTTTTATTTATATCGCACTAGAGCTGCATAATGGGCTACTGGTCAGGGAAACATCCTCGAGGGTTAGAACTTTCACTTTTAGAGGTAAAGTTACCGTTACTTATAATGAATAGTTATTGTTTCGTTTTTAATGCTCCTTATTTGTATCCCCTACAAGAGTTCTAAAACGCAATCCAAAGTAAATTGTGTGTAAAAACAACCGGAATTTTTATTTTTCTTTGTTTTTGTTTTTGTGTTTTGTTCATTTTGCTTAGATTGCGTTTTTTACACAATATAAAGGGAATGGCAAGTTAAAGTAGAAAAAATATCAGTAATTTTTCTCTTTATCTGAAGAAATAATTTGCATTCGCTGATGATATAAATAACAAATAATTTGCTTAGTAAAGTGTATGCAATAATTTATTTTACGAAGTTTTACTATAAAAATGAAATTTATAAAGGTTATTAAAGGTACGTTTCTTCTTCAAATATATCTTACATACGCTGATTAATATATAGATTGTTTTATTCTTTTTTATTCTCTACTCATATTTTAATAGAAATCTATGATAGGTTGTATTTTTAATACTTTGTATTTCTACTAGTAGGCTATGCAATTTTACTTGTATTTTTTACTCATAACTCATTGAAAACTACACTTAAATGTTTAGTTATAAGAGTGTGTATCTTGCACTTACTACCAAGAGCAAAGCACTTTCACTATGAAAACTCTGTGATACATTTTGACAGCTAATATATTTTGGCGGCTAATATATTTTGAAAGATAATCATCAAAAATTCTAAGAATCGTTCCATATTTTTCCTAATCCATGATTGTTTTAACTGTAATAAGTAGAATAGTTTGAAATAACGGTTCTGGTTTTTGTTCTAGTCAAAAAATAATCGCTTTTGAGATGGTTAAAATTAATTGAATTGTCTAAAACATTTTATATTATCTGAAATCTTAATGTTTTCATTATCATTACTCCATTTTCAATTTAAACATTAAATTTTTTTCTAGTTATTTTAATTTGAACGGTACTTCATGTCGTTCCTCTGATTTCAAAAGATTGACGAGAGAGAGAAAAAAGCGAAGAAGTTAAGTCTCAGAGCAAAAAATAGTTGTGTTATTCTCCAGAAGTTCCTGTTGACGAATTTTGAGTTATCAAAACAATAAAGGTCTAGTACAGCATCTTGTTTCCTTTTACGAGTTTAAAAGAAAGTATTTTGCTTAGATATATCAAAGTAGAGGTATTTTATATCGCATTTAATTTGTAAATTCGTGTTATCTGTTGTAAAATAGTTGTGGTAGGATAATTTGAAAACATGAAAAAAACGTTTTGTGCATGTTTGTGGTATAAAGCAAGAAATACAAGCAGCAATCTTAAGACGTATCAAAAATTCATTCTTTAACCGATTACACCAGGAAACTTTTTTTTTTTTTTTTTTTTTTTGCAGCACGAGATTTTAACAGATCTCAGATACGAAGATCAGTGAGATTCGTATCACTGATTTCAAATCTGAAATCGGTTTCTCTCTCCAAACTATAAGTTTATTTTAATTGTCATTTTTAGCATATTTTTTGCCAAAATGTACAAGAAACATTGTAAGTAATTGTGACTCGCGCAAATGTTGCGACAAACTTCTAAAAGAATTAGGGCACATCATCAGAATTAAAGCTGCATAACCCATATCCGGAAATGTCATTATACGCCTCTAAGAGCTCTTCCCTATTATGAACTATTTCTTAGTATGCTTCTGAACAGGTTATGATAGGGGAAGATTCCCTAGCAGCGTACGAGGACATTTCCAGGCATGGGTTCCTATGCAGATATGTGCCCTAATTCTCCTAGAAGCTTGTGACAACATTTACGGGACTCCCTTTTGTATTAAGCCTTTTTAAACTTAACTAGTTCGACAAAAAAATAGACTAAAAATTTCAATTAAAAAAAGATCTGCAGCTTTAGGAGCAAACCTAATTTAAAATCCCATTTTCTAGTTAAGTAATATCAACGCAGTAATAATATAATTACAATATATAATTACATTAATTTTGTAATTAAAAAAAACCCAGTTCTCACCAAAATATAAGGATGCATATAGACTAAAAATGTTGGTTAGGTTGTGTTGAACATTTATTTAACGATATACTTTAATTCACATTAATGAGCTATTGACGGCTGTCAAATACTTATACCAGTGGTGATTCTAAAGAATACAGCGCATGCGCGTGTAGTTCACACTACCATAGAGCATATTGAAAAGCAGATAACGGTTATTTCATCTTAGTGCCGCGGTTTTTAACAGCTTAACCCTATATGATCTATGCGGTCACGTTTGTTAGGATGAAAATTTTTAATATCTTTAGAGTTACAATTATTAAAAACCCAAACTGGAAAAATAATTACACTTAATTAACTCGGGACATTTTGTGTATTGCATACGCAAGAAGGAAACAAAAAATTGAATTGATCGTCAAATCATTGAAACAAATTTATCTTGAACATCATTAACTACAAGTTAAGCAATAAACAACTTAGCGTTTATTTAACTTTTCAATTAAACTGTGCATACTTGTTATTATATACGAAAATAGATGTCGTTTCCTGCATAAAAAGAATAGTAAGACACAAAAAAAAAATAATAATAACTGCAATAGTTTTGATCGCAATTTCTAAAATATCTCAAATTTATTTTTTTTAACATTATCGAACTCGGCTAAACAAGGAAAACTATGAAAAACTTCGAAATTGTTCATTAAAAGTATGAAAAAGGTTATTTAATCACACAAAGTGCTTCACAAATTTATCCTGAAAATAGTGTTTTAAACATCCAATATTTTTTTATGTTACGCATTTTTCTTTATAGATATATAACAAACTTATTTAGCAAATGGTTTTCTAAAAGGACATTTCGTTCTTTTATTTTTGCAAAATGAGTAAACATTAACTATGAGCTCGGAACATTTTTTAAAAAATTTTTGAGAGGATTCTTTGAACTAATCATTTATTTAAAAATAAATAATAAATATGAAGAAAAAAAAACTGAGCAATTTAATAATTTTTAATCTAGTGATTGAATATACACATGAAGTGAGTAAAAGTAAAAAAGTGATCATCCTGAACTACTTTTGATCTAATAATCGGATTTTCACGAACTAAGACTCAATCCTATTGGTTCGAGTACCTAGCCGTAATCATGCCAAATAAGTCCTGCGGACGATATTTAGAACCTCGAAATCATGCACAAAAATGTACTTTGTCTGAATAAGCATACCTTTCGACGAATTCGGATTCATGACTTAAAATACGGGGTAAGCGTAGTATGGTCAGAAGAGCGCTCAGTGCTAATTTGCGCATTTCACCACATTTCAAGAACGTTTAAAGCGAATCGAAAAATTTTTGTTCTTAATTTCAAAATTCGTTTACCTTAAGATAATTCCATACAAAATAATAATAATTTTTTTATAATTATTTAATTTAATAAAAGTCGAAAAATTAAATTGTTGCGAGGTACACAAATAACTTAAAACATTTTGAAGAACGTTATTTAAAACGGCAAAATGGAAAACTTGAACGAAATTGGTCCAAAAGTTCTTGAGGAATCAAATTTCAAATATATGACTTTTTTAATGATGGGAAAATGATGAATAAAAAATGTATGTCTTACCTTTCAAAATTTTTCGACTAATATTAAATAATAAAAAATAATAAATATTTGCTAAAAATTATTTAAAAATGGAAATATCTTTTGAATTATTGAGAATATATTTTACAGATTGTGTTACCGCTTCGTGGATTAGGAATCTAAATCCGTTATTAATAAAAACGCATCTTTATTCAGAGAAAGTACTCGTTTGGGCTTTTATTTCCAATACTATATTACCATAATTAAGATTACACTCGCG